AGCATACCATAAAGTTTACCTACAACTATGTTTATGTGATTATCCCATTCGAAACGCTGAATACGAATCCGATTTCCGTTAGCCTCCATCACGTCAGGCTCGTGGTCAGTTGAAGTTGTTTATTTATTTTATACTTCACCCTGGGTCTTTTCAGTGGCTACGAGAACGTTTTCATACACCCCCATTTTTCATAGGTTTGGGATTGATTTCATTTATATCTATTCCAAATTCTACGGTGCCACGCCGAGTTTTCCAATAAACCCATATTTTTCCATGAGCTTGAGATTGACATACATACATATATCCATATCAAGTTCCAGGACTCTACCACAAATACTTCCAGAGATATGCAAAATTCGGTTTGTATGGGAGGTTTCACACCTCCTTTAGATATCGGTTTTGTTTTAGCATATAACCATCCTTGGAAAGTCTGTGTCCGAAATTTCAAAAAAATCGGTACAGCCGGTATGGGCATTGTGACTCCTCAAGCACAATGAACAAAGGATCGAAAAAAAATAAATGAAATAACGTTGTTGACAAAAAAGGAATATTAGACTTAATTTTCTGTACTTCTCATAATGTAAAAAAGCTAAGAAATATAATAAGATAGGATATATTAAAACAGCCTGCGAAAAACATTTACTAAAGACGCCCCTGAACTACAAAAATCAAATTGATTGAAAATTTGTTTTTATTTATTTATTTAATCTTCACTTTTGGGTGTGTCAAAATTTCTTGTGAAAACAATATGTGTTGCTGGAAAAATTTCACGGCTGTGAACAAAATACTAACCTTAACAAGTTAAATGGGGCCAATTTGAACGTAATACAAGACGTTTTTTCAGCGACATTTTTTTCACAATTTTATGTTGGTAAAAAGACCGAGTTTTAATGCCGAATTTCGAATACATTTTTTTTCAGAAAGTGTAACAGTGATGCCTAAGTGTTTTGTTAGCTTGGAAAGTTTATTAATCACCCTGTGTTTCGTGTTATACAGAAGTGCTCACATACATACATACATACATGTGCGTCAAATTCATTTTCATACAACATCGTAACCGCACAGAAGGCAAAGGATACACAATACAACAAAAAAAACACAACAAGCTACGAGGACAGCTAATACACAATTTGCATATATTTATCCATCAAATTGATGGATGCTACTCCAAATATAAGCTGCATGCGGAGCGTACAAACAGTTGAACTCGTCAGCGGCCAACATCGTTCGGAGGTGTAGGGGAAGAATCTTCTAACATTACCATGTAGATGATGCATGCACATACGTGAATATGTTTATGTACATAAGCACGTATGTATGTATTTGAGCCTAAGCATCATAAAACAGGTGTGGTTATACTTACATACATACGTACATATGTAGATATATTCAACAAAAATTGCTTTCCTCATCTCTTCCTCTGTTTATACTCCATTTGCATTCAATTTACTTAGCACGTAGCCTAGAGGAGTGAACCCGCACGCATTTAAATAATACATATTTATATGTAAGTACATATGTATATTTAAAACGAATGGATAGGTTTTACTAAGTCAGACAATGCTCTTTAAAATTTCATCATTAGATTTTTTCCACAAAAATACCACTTTGAGGCACGGGACAAAACAAATCGAACGGAGTAAAGTCGCAGCTCCGAGGTGGTCAATTGACATCGCCGAGACGGCTGATAATACGATTGCCGAACATGGCGCACAACAGATGGATTATGGCATGGGATGTGTGCCATGGCGCGACTTCCTTCTGAAACCAAAGTTCGTCCAAGTTCATGTCTTCAACTTCCGTCCAAAAAAATCATTTATCATGCTTCTGGAGCGCTCACTGTTGACCGAAATTGCGTTTTCAGCAACATTTTCAAAGAAAAATGGGCCCATGATGCCACCGGTTCCGCACCAAACTGTCATTCTCTGAGGATGCATTGGCTTCTCGACGATCTCCGCAAAGATAACAATGAGCTTCGTTGGGAAACATGATTTTTCGATTTTCCAATAAACACCTTTTTGGGCTAAAAGCTCAAACAGACGGCAGCGTTGATCCGCAGTTAACTCCCGAGTTGATCCGGATCAACGCTGCCGTCTGTTTATGCTTTAAACAACATTGTCTTGGAAATAAGTTTTCATTAGTTCCCAACGTTGTTCAAGCGTAAAACGATTAATCGCGATCCGCGGGGATATGATACTGACATTTGGTCAAGATATCTATCCATATGGACCACCCGTTTTGTACATGCATACCCGTGAACGAGTTTACGTTGCCCTCTCTTGTACTTCTTATACCTACATACATACATACCTTCATTGTTAGATAACGAAATTTTCTATTTCGTCGACAAAAATGAAATGAATTGAAAGGCGAAGAATTTCGCGCAAGCTGACTTTAATATTTTCATTTTTTTTTTTTTGATACACTGCTTAGTTCTGTTGCTGCTGATGGTTTCACCCTCCATACCACTGTGCAGCAAGGGGTGGCTGTCACGGCATGCAAATTTCCAACTCACGCATTGAAAGCTCGCTTTGGCGAATACGCAGTATTGATTTTTTTTTTGCAGCGAAAATTTACAAGGCTTCCGAAATTTAACTGTTTGCAACAGGACGCATTCGGACGTTTTGTCATACCTAAAGCATTTAAATTTAATAAAACTTAAACTTAAGCTCGCTTTACATACTTACGTTATACGAAATATTTGTATGTACATATGTATGTAAGTACATCTGTCCTTATTATTAAAAAGTAAAATATTGTTGTAAAAAATTTAAATATTTTATTTTTGCTTTAAATAAACTGAATAGGTATATTTTGTTACAATGCATTGGAAAGGTAAAAGCAACTCCTTCTGGAAAGCGACTGCGGTCAGCTTCACTACCCACAGCTGCAATCATTTCTTCAAGTATGGCTCATTAACATCACCAGCATCCTTTTCCGTCACTTTATTTTTATATGTACACAAAGTTGTAAATAAATTTGTACATACATATGTATAACAACCTTACCTTCATTACCGCCATCAGCTGTTGCTATCAATGGTGCCCAAAATTGCGAATCTGCTGATGAAAACAAAAAATGCGTAAAAACACTAAGGGAAACACGGAAAAAACCAAATTAATGCGAGGGAAGTATTAGAAGTAACAGAACGAAAATGAGACTGAAAATAAATAAATGAATGAGAAAATGAGAATCGCAATTGCAATGAAAATGAAAATGAGAGCACGTCGCACTGGTGCGATAATTGTGGTCCTTCCAGCCAGCGACAAATCTAAGGTGTGGGTATGGTTGCTAGTGCTACTGTTACTGTTGGTAGTGCCTGTTGTGGTACATATACATAACTGTAGCCTCTAAACTATTTATGTATGTATCTGTTCACTTAGTGCTCAACACGATTGATAACAAAATCCAGAGGCGCTTAGAAATCCTCAAAGTAGTAGTTTTTTGGTGAAGCTGAAGGGTTAAGTATCTGAAAAAAAAAGTTTTGAGGATTATCTTAAAAGTGACAAATTGAAAGCTAGAATCAAAAGTACATTGTTTCTATTGCAGCCGAGTATCAAATGAATACTTGGCAAGATAATTATGTCAGATCCGTTAAAAAATAAGCCAAACCTTTATTTACATATCGATGGCCCTGTGCAATAACGGCGCAATTCAAAATTCAAAATATAAAAACCCTTACTACTGTTAAGTGGCTCATGTCTCTAATACTTAACGAAACCATGTCTAATCTTTAGTTCTTGGAATGGAATGGAAAGGAATTGTGGGTGGCCAGAAAAACTAGAATCAAATTTTTCCAAGCTCTCAAGCAGTATTGCCCATTGTACTTAAGGGCAAGAAACAGGATTTAGAGGAAAGGGATATGAAGGTCGGGGTGGGAATTCATTACTCCTCTGCAAACTTACCTGACTCCTTTATGAATTTTAGCAATTTGTTGAGGGAAAGAGAATGTACGTCGTTCATTTTCAGTACATCCGATCCAAAAATGTACCATCTGAGTCTGGCGAAGTCCGCACAGCGGCAGAGAAAATATTCTGTGCTATCCTCGTCCTCCTTGACTCGGCGTACTGCACGATGTCCATAATCTCCCTCGAAGGAGGGGAGACTATAGAATCGTATGTCAGATAAGCGGAGACTACAATGGCATCGGCGCGCTTCCCGTCCGTCCAGTACCCAATTTTTGTCGCAACGACATCTTGGGAGCAGAACTCTCTAAGTATCGTGCATTCGACCGAACGCGGCACTATAATGGATGCACGCGGCCATACTGTCCCTCTAAATTGAAGGAAGTTAACCCAGGAAATCCCTCCAAGTCCACAGATACGCCCGCGGAATACGCATGGTTCCTGAGTTAGGATTACTTTAGCAAGCCTTACTGCTCACTTTAGTATGTTATGGAAATGGATTATACAAGGATTAGAGACAAGAGCCACTTAACAGTTTTTATTTTTCAAATTTTGAATTGTGTCGTTATTGCAGAGTTCCATCGATATGTACATACATATTTCAAAGTTGGAAAACCTGTGTTATAAATATTTTTTTTTTTTTTTGAAGAAATACAGTTATAAATAATTATATTACTTTTCTGAAACGGCACTAGTCACCAAGACTATCGGCCAGCTATTTTATGACTAATTTAATGTTTCGTTTTAAAAAGTTCGAAAACTTCTTACAGGTTGCATAAAAGTAAGCGTTTTTGCACATGTAAACATTTTTCATCTGATTGCTTGAGAGAAACCCATATGTGTTGCCTCGTATAAGATGACCATTTAAGTCATTTTCATGAAAGATAAACCCCTATAGAGACATATGCATGTATGTATGTATGAATGTAAGTCTTTAGACAAACTACATATTTCCATATTTGTGGCGCACGCCACAAATCGGACGACAAGCTCGGCCAAACACTAACGTATGTCCAAGCGCCAATCTATTATATTATTATTAATTTCCCAGAGATTATGCCAGTAAGTCCAACAGGATAGAATAAGAAAAAAGACACTGTAGAATTTCTTCAAAGTTAAGCGAAATTCGTATGTAGAGAAAAAGCAGTAACGAGACGAATTTTTAGTAATGGAAAAAGTATTGTGATCCCGCACACTTCCAGTAAAAGCCATAGGAATATTCTGCGAAAAATCACGGTAAAGTCACCGCTACTTGCACTTGGAAAAAAAAATATATACTCCGACTAAGAATAAATCTCTCCATTTTAAGTCGGTTGAGCCGGTTGAAAATAAATATTCCTACCTGTGAGATCTCCGATAGGCCTTGAAAAGATGGTTTACCGACTGGGCTTAATCTTCTTAGTTTTATAGCCGGACAGTGGAAAAGAAGGTGCTGCACATTCTCTAATGCTTCTCATTTCGCGAAATTATGCAAAAAGAAGCTGAAAATCAAAAATTGCTAAAATTAAAAATTACGTATATATGTAAAGTCGCGCGCAAAGATAAAGTTATATATTCGAAAACTACATAAAATTCTCTAAAACATTGGTCTAATGTCAAGACCTTTTTATCCCTATCACTTTCTTCCTATCTATCGCTTTTAATGTTTATGTTCATGTTTATCTTCACCTTCATGTTCATGTTCAAGTTAGTTGGAAGTCAGATGACTTTTTTCTGTATTGTAAGAAGTAATTACCAAAATGAAATAATGGATTTACTGCGGAAAAGCGGGGCCGCAGGAAAAGTGGCAAAAAATTGTGGAGGTCGCCACATGAAAATGTTAGGACTGAGAAAAAATATAGCCTAAAATGTTATTAAGGACAGAGGAAGTCTGACAAAAAATATTACGGTCCGATATCTTGTGAACTTAGTAGCAAGTAGCGCTGCAGCCACTGTTACATAAGCGCTTAAGGTATTAAAATTGAAAGCAAATCAGTAGATAGCGAGGCGAAGAATTGTCAAATTGAACGCAAAGGCATAATAAAAGAAGAAAAAACCATTTTGATCAAAATACATGTGCGAGAGTGGTAGCATTTTGCCGGATCGCACGAAAACCGGCCGTTGCCTATTGGGATATGTTAGGCCTTACAGAATGCAATAAAAAAAATGTAAGATTTAATTGAAGGTTAGTTGGTCTGACAAGACTAAACTAATCGCTTTAAATCAGATGGCCGGGCATGGTATTGGATCAAAGACCCAAATTAAGCCTAAGCGCATCATATAAGGCAAACTGTGAATCACAGTGGTCGGTCAATAATAGTTTGAGGGTTGTATTTCAAAAATGTTGTTGGCCTGTTAGTACGCATTATGCGTAAGGAACAGTATCTGTTCATATTTCAACAAAATTAGAGGTTCTACTGAAAAATTACCCAAAATATACTGCATGTGTTCACAAAGACTGAATGCAAAAGCAAAAATTTGCTAATTTGAAATGACCTCCTCAATCCGCCGATATGAATCTCGTCGAAAATTTGCGAAATCAACTAAAAGCGCAGCTTACTAAGTCCGTCCAATGGAGTACATGACCTCTGAAAGCAAACCAAGGATATATGGGAGGCTACACCTCCAGAATTTTTACAGAGATGCAAATAAGGTATGCCAAATTACATCCAAGAACTAAAAAAAGCAAAAGTATACTGAACATTGTGTTAACAATTCTTTTTTTCGTGAAAATTGTCAAAAAGTTATGAAATATATATAAGTGCAAAACAGTAACATACGCCTTTATTTACATTTTTGTCTGCTGGCTTTATTATTGTTGTTGGATTGACTTCAGTTCGTTATGAGAGGCGAAGAACAGGTGTATCAATAAGAATATACAACAAAACTATGAATTTCGCTAGAACTTGGAAAGATAGCGGCGGCTGGTATAAAAAGCGTTACACCATGTTACAGTTTTGCTAGTCACTGTACGTATTCACCCCCACCATGTTATTAGGTTAGGTAGTTAAATTTTCCATCCTCTTTGTCTTTATATTTAGGTTTCTTTACTTTTATTTTAATCTTTGCCTTTATTTCTTTCATCTTCTACATATTCAACTTTACCTTCTTCCTTGCATGAATCTTAATCTTCATAAATCTGATTCCTTGACTGCTGCTTAAAGCTCAAACAGACGGCAGCGTTAA